GTGCTCAGCACGCTACGCGAAATTTTCGAGGTGTTTTTGCAATTGACATGTTACCAAAAAAAATTAGAAAAGATGAATCAGGTATAATTAATTTTCAACCCTCTAATTGTTACGGCTCACACTGGGTATGTTATGTAAACAAACCATATTTAAGAAATATTTTATATTTTGACAGTTTTGGTATTTCTCCACCAGAAAAAATTAAAACATATTTATTAAGTAGCGGAAAAAATATTGCGTGGAACAGCACACAATTGCAAATGAATTCTTCTGTTTTATGTGGCCATTACTGTATATACGTAATAATTAATGTAAACAGAGGCAAAGATTTTTATGATATATTATATTCTTTTAAACAGATACCGTGTAGCTTCAATGAGAAAAAATTCGTGGACATAGTCCACTCATGAGCTATTTATTCAATATTCGGCTATGCCTTCATGATGAATCTTTGATTCAGAATATTTGTATGTTATAAATGGAAAAATATCTACAAAAACGCTTGTATGTATACAGAAAAAGTTACATATATTTTTATAAAATTGGAATCGGATTATCTATTAGTAAATTATTATTTAGTGCATCGGGATTATCTTCGTTAGCCCTTCCTCCACTAGTTTGTTTATCTCTTGGTGCAGGGGTTATAGAAATATTAGATAAGAGATTAAAAATATCAGAAAGAATTGAAGAATATAAGTTGATTTATAAATTTTATAGACAGTTATTGCATTTATATAAGGCTGATAAAATAAATGAAAAAGAAATAAATATACGTGAAGAGGAATTTGTCAGTAATTTTAATTATTTTCCCAGAGAGAAATACCTAGAAAAAGTTCACTTAAACGGTATTTGATTTTTATTGTAATAAATGACAGAACCAAAAGAAATTAAATTATTTGATTTAAAGGCTAATAAGAAGTATGATGTTATTGCTGTAAGTAAATCAGATGATGTTGGTCCAGCTAATGGATTATTCTTTATTTTAGAAGGAGGGTTGAAGTTATATTTATCCGTTGTTGACTTATTTTCAGAGTCATCAAAAATTAGTAAGTTATATGAGTTATATGACGCTGTTTCATATTTTCTTGATAAAAACCAAAAAGTGTCTCTACAAAGAGATAATATGATCTTCAAGTCTAAAGATTATGAAGATTTAGATGTCGATATAATTATTTCTGAAGATATTTAAATTTACTCTAATAAATGAAATATATTATTTTTTTCTTATTTCTCACTACTGTAAAAAGTTCAGATGAAGTTAATATTACAACTTCAGTAAAACCTTACGATGAATCAAAGATTCAAAGTTATTTAGAACAATTTGGGTATTTAGCGTCAGCTGAAGCAGACTCAGGTCTGCGACTAGATAGTAATGAATCATCATTAACAGAAACGTTCTTGACTAGTTCTTCGCATACCAATGAAGCATTAATAAGGTTTCAAGAATATTACAATTTACCTGTTGATGGAACATTAAATCAACAAACACTTGATTTGATTAAACTACCGAGATGTGGAAATAAAGATAATCCAACAGCATATAGAGTTTATTATCAAAAATGGAATAAAACAAGTCTTAAATGGTATTTTCCGTTAGCATCAAACGAAATGAAAGAATTAGCACAAAAAGCTTTTGATCAATGGGAATCTGTTTCAAATTTAAAGTTTAATTATAATAGTGTTAAACCAGATATAGTCATTTCTTTTGCTAAAACACCATTTCAACACTATAATAATGCTCGCTGTCAAAAAGGAATATGTAACAATAAATTTGATGGAAAAGGAAATATATTAGCACACGGTTTCTTTCCAAATAATGATGAATGTCGAGGAATTCATTTTGATAAATCAGAAAACTGGTATTTTGGTGAACCAAGTGATACACCAGATGGACAATCAAATTTTTTTACTGTATTATTACATGAGATTGGACATACATTAGGTATTGAACATTCTGCCAACAATAAATCAATTATGTATGCCTATTATACTGGAGATATTTTTGAATTATCACAAGATGATGTGTGGGCAATTCAATATTTATATGGAAGACCTGAACGATTAAAATATGAATTAATACCAACAACAACAGTTAAACCTACTGTAGGGCAAAGCGTCCCTGAAGGTCAGCCTAGAGGTATATTCAGTAATTTATGTGATTTTAATAAAGAAATTGATACATTCTTAATTGCAAATCATCATATGTATATTTTTTATAAGAAATATGTTTGGTTAGTCAATTTAAAAGACATGACTTATGATAAAGAACCGAAATTAATTAAAGATTATTTATATTTTTTGACAGATGATTTTAAAGAAATTTCACATATTTATCAAAGACCTTCAGGTGATGTTTTAATAGTTGTCAAAAATTTATATTATTTAATTGATTTTCCAAGTTTTAATGTTAAAAGTGGATATAATGGTCAATCTATTGAAAATTTAGGAATACCAAAAGGAAAAAGAATTGATGCAATATTTAGAACTTATTCTGGAAAAACATATATATTTTATGATAAAGTCTTGTACATTGAGTTTGATGAGTGTCTGTTTAGATCAAAGAAAAATGGCCTTATTTCAGAATTATTTGCTGGAATACCTCCAAATATAAGCGGAGCATTCAGATATAGAAATTTATATTTCTTTAAAGATAAAATGTATTATGAATTTGATGATATTTCGAATACATTAGTTAAATCTGATAAATTTGACTTGACAGTTTTTGGATTTAAATGTGGTCTTATCGATCAAATAATAAAACTGATTCAACGTCTGTATTAGTAAAAGTCTTTTTTTCCATTTCATTTTCTTGGCCGAAACAATATTCATTTTTGTTCTGAAGTAGCCCAACAGAAAAACAGGGTTAAAAGACGAATTTTAAGTGTTTTTAAAAGGGGAATTTGTTTGTACGAAACCGTATTCACGTTTGATAAAACAGGATATATTTCTTAAAATTCGCTTCGCTCATGAGGACTTTGTCCGAATTTTGACTTTTTTAAAAAAGGGTACGTTTGGAAAAACCGGTCAAATTCTTCAAAAAATGTTAATTTTAAAATATACCTTAAAAAACGGGAGTCTTTTCACGATTTTTCTGCTTTTCTGTTAACCCTTGAAAATCGGGGTGTTTTCCTTAAAAAGTAGCTGTGTTCTCAAGGGGCCTTATTAGTACAAAATTCTAAACAGTGTAAAATCTTTGAAATCAAGGTAAAATTCCTAATTTTAAATGTTTTTAAAAGGGAAATTTGTTTGGACCAAACCGTATTCTTGTTTGAAAAAACGGTGTATTTTCCTTGAAATGGTGACTTTTTTGAAAAGGGTACGTTTGGAAAAACCTTTCAAATTCTTTAAAAATTTTAACTTTTCAAAAGTTATCTTGAAAACCAGGCTATAAGTATTAAAAGTGTATTGTGTTCTGAAGGGGCCTTATTAGTAGTAGAATTCATTTGTTATCTTTGTAAATCATCTTATATTTTTAATGATGTGTGTATGGGTGAGCATTTTTGGAAATGATGGTTATCAATAATCATAGATTATTTTAATATGCGACATTTTTTATATTTTGTGTACTTAAGTTTGTGAATTAGACTGATGTTGAGCAAGCACTACCTTGGTGAATAAATTGATCATTGTAATACATACGTATTTCCATTTTTAGAGACTAAGTAAAAAATTTCTGAACTGGCAACGTAGCATGCGTGATGGCGTCCATAAAAGTGTACAAGTCTGCGCAGGTTACCATATTTATTAAAAGCGATTCAAGGTTCTCCAATATACACATTAGTTATCCCCCAACGTAATTTATTCAATTTTTAACATATTAAAACAATATAAACCAACGAATTTAAAAGAAAACTGTTTTTCCAAATCCAACTGTTTCCTACCGGCTATTAATTCGGATTGTTTTAGGATTTTACAAGCCACTGTTTTAAAAATTCAAATTTATTTGAACTGAATAAAATTTATCAAAAAAATGTACAGGTAACATCATTTTCAATAAACATTACCTAGGTTTTACTAAATAACTCAAAACACCAATTCGTCCATTAACGTGGATCATTAATACCATTTTTTCTTTTTTCTGTGGGAAGGAATGCGATGCCGACACAGAGTCTATTGTTCTCGAGGTAAACAATTTCTACCACGCACGTTTTTCGATTTAAAACGTGATGGTGACGTCACGGATGCATCCAGTGCGCAGTATTGTACGCGCAATGAAACCAGTCGGTGATCATGCATCGAAGCCACACGCGATTCTACTGTGAAATATTTTGTTTAGAAAAGGTAAACTGAGTAGAAAACAATTTACACGTATATATAACATAAAAAATGTATTGGGGTCTGAAAATAAAACGTACTTTGTTACTAAGAAACAGCTAAATCTTAAGATGTTTAAAGTGAGGTTAAAAACATATTCACGGAACACGCTAAAAATCATTGCGTATTTCAAGCATATTGTTATTTGTTGTTCATAGCCAGCACATTAAGCCATAATACCGTAAGCGCGGCACGCTTGTATGACAGTCTCTTGCTTTGTATTGTTATGACAATGGATGCTATGGTGGAAATTTTAATGTCAGTTATATGTAAAACAAACCATTTACAATATAAGCTGTTATCCGGTAAGCAGGTTGTTAATACAGACATTACTCAAGTATAATAACAAACTCGGTAATGAGCAATGTAAAAAAAAGCATAGTGCGTTATGAATTCACGCGGTCAGAGTAGAAACGCTGTGGGAAAAAATTCATGACGACTTGTAGAAATTGTGTAACTGCCGATACCATAGAAAGAAACGAAATTTCATACAAGTTAAAATAACTGACTGAGTTTTGTAATAATCAGACAAAAATATCATGCGACAGCAGAAAAACTTTTTAAACTCGCGGAAAAGTATTGTTTTCTTAGAGCATTCAGTGTTGCCACTGCATAACTGTACATATTCTTGATGGTAACTTACCGACGTTCAAATTAATTAAAATAAGAGAATACCTATTAACTACCTCAGACGGTTTCTCCTTGGAGGGATCTTCAAATTTAAATTCTCTAGCAATGTACTTTAAGATCCTTCGTTCGTACATAAGCCTTTGTATATAATGCACTGCTTCCTGAAGACAATAAATACAATGTATTCCTATCTAGTACAAGCTTTTTCCAATGAAACTCAGCAAAATAATATCAAATTTGTAGTTACTTACAGGTCTAGGAGTAAAGAGATCTACGTTTGCTTTCGGTAATCTACCATAGTAGTCCTTATTTTCTAACATAGTATCATCGTCTGGATAAAACAACAAATAACTAGCTACAGCTGCACCAGCGTCTTTTAAATTACCCACTAAAAAAAGAAAGCAATAAAAATTTTTAAAACGATTGGGGTTACTTACACTTAAAATAAGCGTACTGTAAATAGTGATAGTGACTCGGAAGTAAATCTTCGTGTTTCTCTCCATTCAACGAATTCAACTGACTTGCACACCTCTGTTTACATTTTAAGCAGTAGGTGAAGTGATCTGACAATTGAGCAAACATTTTTAATCAAAAAACGTTAGTCGGTCTAACTTAAGTCACTTACTAGCTATGGAGGGGATGAAATCGGGATACCACCCTTGATCGAACGGTCCTTCACAAAGCGCCCTACAATCATCCTCCGCTTGCAGATACGAAGCTAGCGATTCTTCCATATTTTGCACAACCCCATTCCAGTCTTTCTTCTCATACGCATCCGCTCCATGAATGTACAAATAAACATAATCCTGAAACGATAAATTAACTCCGACACATCAAGCTCTCGTCTCGACTTACCTTGGCTTCAAAATTCACAACTTCCGTAATATCAACACCCTCCAAGGCAGCGTAGTGTTTCAAATTCGCAGACATTATTTTATCATCTGGATGCAACACTAAATAAGTAAACGCAGCAGATGCCGCCTTTTGGATTTCTTTATTCTGGAAAGAGCAATCAAACCATTAACACCTTTTTTACGACTGAAACAACAAAACTCGCTTTCATAAAAATTTGGACCCAGCAGTAATTCGAGTTGGATGTTGAAAACGTACAACTGATCTAAAATGTAGTGCTAATTTTAGAATTCAAAGCGGTGCGAATGTACATTTATTTTATTAATTTTGAGCGGCAATAGAACGTTTGTTTGTTTGTTAAGAGTACACACGTCGTTGGTTTTTTACTTTTAGGGACCAACAAAGCGACCAACAATCAAAGCATGAAAGAAACAGTCGTAAACTGCTTCGTGGTCAGTGTTAGCTTTATTGCTTTAAGAAATGTTCAGTTTATATTGGAACGCCGAACAGAGGCAGTAATCACGTGAAAATCGCATGAACAGCCTGCGCTAAAGGCGTATTGTTTGATGTCCAGCCTACTCTAATAAAATCAAGAGGCACAAAAACACCCGCTGTACTACAAAAGGCGTAATTTATTCGCTTATTGTTTTCGTAATGAAGCGACAAAACCGACACACACTTCCGTCTAGCCGCAACATTCGCATTTGGATTTCCTTTTTTTATGACTAGGCCGGCGCCAGCCTCACTTTAGGTCGGCAAAATATGAATCTGGATCTAAACCTAAAGTTTAACATACGAAAGCTGACACGAGTTTTTTGACAAATAAAGACGGTAGATTCGTTGATCTAGTATAGATAACAGTTTGGTCCGCCGTGGTGTATTTTTTACATCTTTACTATTTGACAATATTGAAGGGTGTACTATAATTTTTTATGTTGGTACATCTCTTTAAATGTTACGTCAGATTTCCTGACTGCGGAAACGTCACAAGCAACTGTCAACGGACTTTCAATCTTACCAAATTTAGAAAGAAATAAAAGATTCTTCCCACAAAATTGGTTCTATGAATGAAAAAAAACAACAAATGCACTTCTTGAACCACCACTATATAACCGAATATAATATAGCGTCAAATCATATTTTAGGCTGTTTGTCTAGTAATTCCACACTCGTAATCCTAACCTGCTTCCTTGGTTGTAACTGCAGTATATCTTACTTGTAATCTTGATTTAGCAATTGTTGGTGTGACCACTGTATGACTACGGACTACGGGTGGAATCCAAGCAGCGCCTGCGTGTAACCTCACTTTTAAAGACAACTTACTTGATTTAAACAGGAATATCGAAAGATTTAAGCCATGACAGCTCCAAAATCAACCAAATCTTGCACTCACACCACCAATACTTTAAGAACTGACTTTATTGAACACAAAATTACAAAACAAACTAATACATTTATCAAAACAAACTCAAACAAAAACACGAAACCAGAGTATCAAAGCAAACATCAGCTGTTATTACCATCGTATCTTTAACTTAACTGTGGCTTCTCTGAATGACGATTTTGCGACGTTTGTTTCTTCCGGAGACGTACGAATCGTTGCTTCTTGAACGTTTTCCAGCGACCGGCGGCATTTCGAGTTTGCGGGGTCGGCTGAATCTCTCAGTAAATTCGGGAGTTACTGGAGTTACCTCCATTGGCTCGTCCACATCCATGAAATAGGTCTTCTCCATAGTCAACTGTCCATAGGATTGCTGAGCTTGCCCAGATGCGCGCGCTTCTGCCATTTTTCTTAAGCGCTGAGAAGAGTTTTCTTGCGCAGAGGCGTTAATTAAACGCAAAATCGAAAATTTAACACTGGAGGCTGCTGGAGCTTAACGACTGTGCAAACCAATATGCAAAGCGGGAATGAAGCGGGCTGAAGTTAGCGCACCAACGGCTTTTGACAATACAAAATGACAATCCTCGAAGTCTATTGGACTGTTTTTGAACAGGAGAGCGATGTCTGCCATCTAGTGGGTTCTTTTACTCTTCACCATGTAACGTACAAGCGTCGAAGGAATTGGAGAAAATTTTGCAATAAAGTTTATATTTTGATCTTTTTATTTGGGCAGCGTTCATGAATTTGAATACGTATTTCTATATTTACTCTTCAATAGGGGTCATACCCAATAAAATCAAAATTGTCTATGACAGCATAAGTTGCAGAAAAAATTTGGTCACACTTTTGTAATCCTTTGTTTCGGCATATGGATTGAGAATATGCCCGTCTGACTTTCCTAGCTTACAAAAACAGGCCCTAACATGTACAGGCTAGTGATCATGTTTCAAAGGGCGAGGTTAGCCCTTGGGATCAATCTTTTCTTCGTCAACTACTTATGAACGTAGATTGATTTGAAAGTTGAAAACTAACTAAATAGTTACACAGGCCATATTTGTGTTATCAGTAAACCCACAATGGGTGGAATAACTGAATCACCTAGTATATCAGTAACTGCGCAGACGGCTCTTTTTATGATAAGCGGGAATATTTTAAACGATAAGAATCAGTATGAAGGACTGAAAATTTATAAAAACTACTGGATTAAAAAGGCGCCTGTACATAACCTCACTTTTTTAATGGCACTTGTTGGTACTTAATTACCTTGAATTTTTCAATCATACCTTTGTATTTTTCACATAAATACTTAAAACTTCCAAAATACAAACTTTATTCAATACAAAACTACAAAACGATGCAAAATATACAAAAATGGTAACTCAATAAGAAAATAATACAACAAAAAAACGAAACTTTAATACAAAAACATGGTTGAAAAACGAGAATAGTAGGTAACGGACCAAAACCCATTACTTCTTGACAACAGCCAAACCATTTAACTGTTGTTTCTATCAAACATCCTTCTATACTTCTCCTTGCGAACCAAGTACGAATCACAGCTTCTTGCCCTTTTTCTGCCTCTAGGACGTCTCTCGGACGGTGAGACATCCAAAGTCAAAGTTTGGGTAAATTTTTCGACCAGCTCGGCGGTTTGCTCGGTTTGTTGGGCCGTCTCCACTGCAGTAGCCTCCTCGACTTCGCTTACCGAAGCTGTCTCCTGCGCCTTGCTCCCCGAACCGGTCTCCTCCACCTCGGTGGCTGATGCGGTTGCCCGCACCTCGGGGCTGAGTTCCCTAATGGTGCCCAGAACTCCTGCTGGTATTTCGCATTGCGTACCTCGTTCGACTGCGCGCGCCTTCTCCATGGTGCTTAAAACTCTTGCGCAGGCGTTAACTACAAACCGAATTCGAACTCCACCAAGTCACCAACTCCCAACAATTTTGAAAACGGCGCAGCGCTACAGATTCACAGAAGAGCGAACAAGCAGACGCGTTGTTAGGACTTTTTAACAACCGACGCCCAAATAACAAAATGGCAACTCGCAAAGCCGCCTATTAGATTATTTTCGCAGCGCTCTCTGTCGGTCACTTGGAAACGCGCGGCAACTCTGCGAAATTTTGAAAATGGCTGGGCAAAAATATAAATATATGCAAAGATTACGAGTGGTTTTCAACTTGAGAAAATTTTGTAGGTGCTCTTATTGTTCTTATTACTTCGCGAGCGTAAGCGAGTCCGTCAGCCGACTCTCTACTTTCATGTTTTCTCGACCTTTCATGTCTGTCCGTCTGTCTCCGAAAGTATTGAGCCGATTGTTGTTGTCAAGAAGACCCCGAAAATACAACCAAACTGTACTGCGCATGCACTCGTACTTGCTTGATCTGTAAGTGATACATGCGCATAGACACTTGGTACTCATACAGACAGAAAACATCTTCCGTCTCTCTTTGCCCGTGAACACCGTTTCTTTATTATTTCTAAAGAGTTAGTAGTTACCACATTTTAATCAACGTTCTGTGAATCCTAAATCAGTTGTATGCATTTTTGAGAAAAAAATAAAATCTGATGATGTTACTTACAAAACAGAGTTAGATTATCAAATAATAAACACAGGATGTTCGTCCCGAAGACATTTCTAGTCAAATTTATCAACAATTTTTAGAGTTGACGCCATCAAGTTGGTGGAGGTGGTGAATAGTTTCCAAATTTACCACTAAATTATATTTGTAGCTAAAATTAGTTAAAAAACCAGTTACTTTAGTAAAAATGAGATTTAAGTTTAATATCAATTGTGGTACTCTTTCGAATATACGAAGACCAAGTACTACTAAGATATACAAAATTATTGGTACCATTTCTTTGTTAAATGAACAAAAACGTAGAAAACATAAAGTTAGATGATTTCTTTTTCTTTGACGGTAAATTTAAAATACGACAGCAATTAATACCACAACTTGTACTTAATATTTGCATGATTGTGGTCTATAAAAAAACGGACAGACAGACGGATTGATAGTTCGAAAGACGGAAATGTGAAACGCCAAGAAAAATGAACTTGTTTTGTCCCCGCTTGTTATTTTATTAATTAATTAATAGTTTTAACTGTAAACATAACCGTTTGCAATTAATTATGAACCCATTTAAAAATAAAATTTTGTTGTTGCACATTTAAAAAACAAAATAAATAATTTCTGTTGTGCAATCTTATGATCATTGACCCGTTACGTCAGTAGGAAACAAGTGACAGATAAATTGAAATTAAATGAAAACCCTAAACTCCCGTTTCTGTCACATCGCCGCAAATAAATGTTCTTTATTTCATCTTGTTTACTTTTCATTAAAATTTGATCCCCATTTTGATGTTTCTTGAAATCATGTTTCTGATAGAAATTTTTCGACGTTTATTGCAGACAATTAATTATATCACCAAAATTCATCCAGCTTAAGCAGATGTTACATTTATTCTAATTTATAAATTTGTTTGCTGCTGCATTGTTATTGTGGAACGCATTATTGCAGTCGGTCAAGTGAATGTACGCGAGATAAAATAGAACGACATTGGATAAAATTTATCTTGGCGGTAATAGCTCCAGAAACCAATTTCATTGTTGTGCGTAAATCATGTACGCAAATAATCAGCTTAAAGTCGTTAAAGTGCGACTGTAAATCTTATTTTACCAAAGATTATTACTTAGGTGTAGGATAGGGTACTTATCGACGGAAAACATTTTGTGTAAAATGAGGTGATGTCATTTCTGTTAAATTCGAAAGTGCAAACAAAGTATCGTATTTTGACTAAGACGATTAAATAGCCTAGAGCGATTATGACAATACTCTATTTAAAACAATGACCGGATTATTGCAAACTGCAGGATGAAATGTGCGGTTTGGCTCATTGTCCCTTGAATTTTATGGTTGCAATTACGTCAGCGGCCTTATGGTGGAAATACATTTGGCGTAATTAACGTACAATATTAAGTTTATACCAGATAATTTGGAGCCACATCTGTAATAATACTTCTAATGAGTAATAAAGTTCAACTCCCACCCACATCGCAAATGTTCCCATATAGACTAATTAACAGTGTTAAAAGCCCGATTGAAATTAGATAATTCTATTAATAACCACTGGCGGAAGTTTCTGCAAAACGTTAAGAGTTAAACCAACAAACTTCGCTTCAAAGAAGACACGAATTTTATTATCGCGTTACATGTCAATCCGGAAGTTCACAAAAATAAACTTGTTTTTTATTATCCACATACGAAAATTACAAGAACTTAATCGAGAGTGTTGATAGCCTCCAAAAATACACGGGCACTTATGTTCCTATTTACACCCAAACACAAAAATAGCGCAACTCTTTTACCTGAAAGTAACAAATATGCAAGTACTCGTACGGCTTCAGCTGTTGAAACAATTTTTGCGCCTCCTTATTAATATTAAACTTATCGAAAGTATTCTTCTTGGTCCTTTTACATCTCACTATACACAGTGTCGCTTTCACTGCCCTTTCATAAAACAGCAAATTGTCCACATCCACAGGGTAAAGCGGCTCAGAGAAATCAGCCTCCCGCTTACATTTGATTCGGCAGTTCTGTAGTTTTTGTGTGTAATCTTTGTATTTTTGTATAGCGTTTTCGAAATTAACCACGCATTCGTCAAATCGATTGTCCAGGTATGCTTCAACACCCTTTTCATACAGATACATGCATGATTCTGTTATGTTTTCACCTTTTGTAAACACATGTGTCACCCAACTAAGCAAGACTGCGTAAATAACACGTGCGTACGCCACCATGGTTAAGTCACACTGACTTACTGAAAACTACTCAGCTGTATAACCCGGGCGCGCCGGCTAATTGACAATGGGTGTAATCTTGTCCTAGCAGCAGCTGGAACTGGATGGCTAAGAGACTATGTTTAGAGATTACACGGTAATTTGCGCTGATTTGTAGTTTAATGAAGAATCAGGTAAGAAATGTGCGGTTAAAGCGCAACAAAGAAAAATAAATAACCTGTTTATTATTTTATAATAATTTATAACCAGTTTATAAAAGAAAAAAATTGCACATAAAATGACTCATCTTTGTATTTTGATACTACTTAAATATGTTTTTTATTTTTATTTCGATGATGATAATCGAACGACAGACACCAGATGAAGTTCAACGTACCAAAATTATTAAAATAAATTCAGTTTATAACAAAATGGATGAAATCAACAATTTAAATTAAATTTTATCCAGTCACCATTTTTAATTATGACATTACACTGTTTTTTCTGCTTTATATCTAAGTAACTATTTATAGCTTTTCGATTGGTAGTGGATAACAGAAGACTGAACACTTTCGTTGTGTCAGAAAAGACAAATTAGCACTTTCGTTGCTCAGAAATGAAATTCATTTAAAATGTTTGGGATACAATTACATTTGCAATCACAATCATCCCACGTAATGCTCAAGCAAAATTGAATTTAAATCGATATTTCCTAAACGAATTTGCCTACAAAAACGTCGTAAAAAACGTTTTTCAGAAAGTGCTGTAGCTTATACTTATTGCTTTATTAAAACTAAATTTAATGTTAAGCGCTGTCTGAAGTGACTAAAACCGCATTTTTTTTAATATTTGTAGAAGTCAAGAAATAAAGAAAAAAGTTAATAAATCGGGGATTGGGACATCCTGGACATGCCAGCGATGGATCTAGACCACCACAAAACCTAGTTCAGTGTTTAGGGACCTTAGTCTAGACGGGTAGTTGACATATCTAATAATTTTTTTTTAGACTTCCTGTCCCTAGACTACAGAAGCTCTCAGTGCGGATATGTGTGATAATATGTAAGATCGGTAAAATTGGAAAATCAGCCAGGTAGCTGGAACTTTTGCAGGCGGGAAATTTCAAAAAACGTTATAATTAAACCTATAATTCATCAAAGCATCATGGAATTTATCTGTATAATTGGTTGCCTAGTTACGCAACACAACATGTTTTTATTATACTTAATGGAGTGACCCCACATGATCCCATCTACCCCAATATGCATATAATTTGTATTAAAATAAAAACCATCGCACACATTTGTTTATACATAGTGCTATTACATCATTAGTATTATTAAGTACACAAATAGGCATCTAATTGTGTCAGCTTTTTATTTATTTACATACATTTCGTAAAACACAGCAAATACAGTAAAACCTGTCTATGCCGGAATCGCGCGGGTCCAAAATTTGTATCCGTCTTAAACAGGGTTCCGGCTTTTACAGGAAACCCGGCTATGACGGAAAGCACACCTCTATAAAACGGAAATGAATTTTTATTACATTGAATACATAGGTACATATAAAAGAATTATTTGAAATAGTTGTTTATTGTTATTTGCTTTTTCGGCCATTTAGATATATTTTCCATGCTTGTTCTCAACTGCAAAAGGTTGGCTACACACTCACCGCTTTGCCATTACTCTCTAATTTATTTCAGGATATGTCTTATAATTTGATACACTTGCGTTTTTTACAACCGAACTTTTGCAAATTTCTTTAACACTCAAATTTTGCTGCTCGTGTACATTAATTAAATCCATTTTGTTGTTATTGTTGGTCGTTTTATGGGCCATTGCGAACACACATATAACCACGAGAGACACCAATTAAATGAGAATTGAGAACAGTGATTTTCTGTTGACAAAAAATGCACCTGCAGGTCCACGAATTGAATTATATATTTTTCGTAGAAATCATCAACTTTGTTCACGCTTTCGTTTTACACAGAGTTGGGTGGATGTATTTTGACACGTTGGGACTTACAAATATTTTCCGTTTCCGCGTTATACAGTTTCCGGCTTATACGGACCAAAATACATTAAATTAGGTATTTGAAAAAACGGGACTGCGGAAAATTTCCGCGATGAGCAGTTTTCCGCCTTCTACAGAGTCCGGCATAGACAGGTTTCACTGTATAACATTATGTACACACTTTCACATCCAAGCATCACTTTTCCTGTGTTTGTTTTCGATCTTGTTGAAACAGTTCTTTTAATTTTGCTTTCTTTTGCAAAGATTGTTCATAATTGTGTTGCCTTCGTCGTAGCCTTTCCTCTTTCAGACATTTTGTGACCGCCGTATCGAAGCTATTGCAAATTCCAACGAATCTTGCAAATGAATGCTAAAAGTAACATTGGATTACGATTTCTAACCTGTTCCAACTAACCTCTTTGTGACACTCTTGTAATTGTTGAATCAAATTATTGCACGTGTCTGTGTGCAAGTGCGGGGATAAATCTGTATGCATTTTGGCGATTTGTTTTCGAATTTATGGTTATATAAATTTTTTAAAGCCTTATTAGACTTGTAATAACAAATGCCGAAAACAAAACGTTTGACGTCTGTCAAAACAGAAACGTGTGACTTTTGCGCATGCGTTTTGCTGTGTAGATGGCGCCACTGATTTAAAATAAATACCGCGAAATGAAACCACGTTCAAAACGTGTCTGATGAAGATTAATAAATTTTCAAGCCACCTGAAATAAAAAACGCATGTTCAGATTTCATTTATTTACAACCGGATTGTACACATTTGAGTATGTAGACATGATGTTGCTACAGTGGATTGAACAACAGGTTCCATACAATCCAACGTTACATATACTTAAAAATACGCGTTATGTTGAACCGCCTATTTAAAATTGAACTTAACATTTCCTAAGTAGGTTTAATAACTTTAGTTGCAGTCAGTGTTTCGCGATTGACACCAAGTTTATTTACATTGATTTATTATTATTAAACCAACTTATAACATCGTGCGTACATACTTATTTTATTATTCTATTCAATACTATACAATTGTTATTGAAGAACTACAATCATGTATAATAAAAAATGTTATTGAAGTAGTAAAGATATATAATTCACATTATATAAATGTTTTCCCGATCAACGTAAATGGTTAAATAAATATAAAAACAATTCGATAATTGTAACATGTATAATAGTACGCAGTGCTGGTGTATATTGCAATCTGTACTGTAATTATTAATAGCTGCAATGCTTACTATTATATTTACACTATGTGACCTGCAGAGCAACAGACATTGGCAGAAAAGAAAACGAAAATATCAGTGGTCCGCTGATTTTTTCATTTTCATTGCAGGAATTTACAAGGCTCATTATAAATACACTTAAGTAATAAAAGTAAAAAGCTACAATATAGTAACAACAAGTTTTAATTAAGAAAGCGGAATGTTACAAAGTTTTCTGAACTGCTATCTTATGAGCATATGCAAAATCCTGCATCACATATCTATCATCGTTCGTTACTAATTCCTATGTGGGTTATTTAGTCATTTCTTTTCTTACTTTAATTATTTATTACTATATTAAATAGGTACCTTTAAGTATATTTTGAGCATATAGTACGATAAAACAATATCATGCAGTACCAGTCGAAAACATATAAAACTAAAAAGAATTTATAAAGAATAACTTAAAAGGATGTAGATAAATTTGTACTATATACCCAAAGATAAAATGGACGAAAAACATTTAGTGTTTTTGTTTGTTTGATACATTTATATATACACATTCCACTGTAAATGCGATGAATGAACTAACAACTTTTCAGACATTTATTTCAAAAAACAATGAAACCCATTTTCATTACACATTTTTAACTGTTCACTCACACCATTGGCAGTTTTTGGCAATTAGACCGAATCTTATTTAAAAACTTTCAATACTTTTATAAAAAATAAATTTACTGAAAACATGTATTACTGAAGAAACAAAAATTACGTATTTCGAGATAATGAAACTTTCAAAAACGCATTCTCAATTTATTATAGTGTGCGTTTTATTTATGAGTATGTCTTGTAAATGTTTGTATTTGACAATTAAGCTGCACTACAAGCAGAGATTCAGTCTCTAGCGTGTCCTTCAGACTAACCCACTGCAGATCGTCAAGGTTAAGTCCATTATTTTAAAAACACTATTTTCAGGCGTAGAATTCCTTGTTGTTACCTCTGCTATATGAAGTTGTTGTTGGCGACTGTTTGGGTTCACCTAAGGCGTAGGATCCTTCGTCTTTTTTACGCATCCTATACACGATAAACATCACTACCAGTATGGCGCAGAGAAGCCCGACGACCGCTCCACCGATAACAGCTGAAACAAACAACAATTCGATCAAAACTACCACCGACCGACGTCAATCGCTCACCTGCCAGGATACCCGGCTGGGCGAAAAATGAAGTATGGCGATCTTCCGGCTTCCTATTCATGATCACTTCTGGTACTGTATGCTTCGTTGGGCTGGTCGCTGATTCCTGATCGATCGAATCTTCTCGTTCGCGGTCCGTGGGCACAGATTTCTTCGGAGGTGTGATCTCCGGCTCAGGATGTACATCTAAAATACGGACATTATTTACATACAAAAAGTCCCAATTCTGACTCCAAAATGAACCAGTAATAAATAAAACTTGCACTGCTTTTGCTATTGTTGTTAAATCAACAAAAAAAGTAGTGGTACATGACTTTATCAGTTGCCGTTTCGTGGAACGCAGTAACGATTAAATACCATTAAGAAACAAAAACTCGACTGCAACTTAAATGGTAGATAAAGTATGAGAATGTAACTAGTTTTGTAAGTGCAAGATAAATTTTGAAACGCTATTTATTTCACAACCGTGTTAATTGCAGGACGTTTGTTTTTGCTAAGGTAAATGATTCTTGAGTCGTTGCACTAAATGGGAGAAAATGTCATCCCATCAGTTCTTTTCATTCACAAAAGGTTTTATCTATGATTTTCTAACCAAAAGGAGTGGTGGGTTAGTTGATCCTTGTCCTATTCTATCCTCTCAAATTGAATTCTTTTTCCGTTGAAACTAAACTTTTCGTCTTTTATGGTTGTTGCTGGCACCCTCGCGTGTACAGCACAGGTGAAACGCGCCCAAGTCATAAAAGTGTGTTGACGAGTTTAAACACTATCCAGTAGTTGTGTCTCTTTTTAGAACTCTAGAAGCCGAGCCTCAAAACCGATACGTCTTTCCCTAAGTAGTGTCCCGTTAGTTGTTTCTGTTCAACTCATACAACAAATAAGGGTAGGGCTATGAATGAATGTCGTGTCTTGTGAGGGTCTTCGTTCCACTATGGTCGACTTTTACCTTAATAATGGACATTCTTGATACGCTTTAGATTATTTTAATAACTTATCCATTACTAATTTAGAAAGCTTCCGAAATTCTTATACACCATTGTGAGAATGTTCTAGTCGCATGTGCGACCCCGACATACACAGGTCACTTCTTTAAAAGGTTCGGAAGTTTTATAGCTTGACGTAAATCGTCGTAAGATAGAGTATGTTTGCCGGTACGGTTTTTTATCTTCTGTGTCAACGTTTTATCTTTAGCTATGTTGTTCCCTGTGTCGCTGTCGCAAAATTGTAAAGTTTTTATTGATTACGACAAATACGAAAATAATAACTTGAGAATTCCTGTTTGTAGTCTTCTCAATATTTTTGGCATTATCAACGAATTTTGGAAACTTGGCGTATTATATTTCACTGCTTGATAGAACAATGATAACACCAGAACCTTTCATTTATTACTAGATAAGCAAGTTTGTCATTGAAACTTGACATAATAGTAAAACATCGTACGATACGAATTATCAGTATTGAAATGAAATTGACGGCTTCCACTTTGTTGATAAATTATGAAAAAATTGAAAAAACGGGACGCGTCGTCATGGACGCCCGTTGCTAAGTAATTGTTTTCTAACCTCATTGTTTCAAATATGACAGGTGACGTAAGGCGTCGCAACGTGGTGTTATTACCAATCGCAAAAATTACTTACTAGGATTAAATCCACTTGGTTTTAGAGGTGTATCCTCATCATCTGGTCCAAAGCCAGACCCACTTGATTCCAGATCATGGGTCACCTCTCCAATTCCACTTCCCTCGATATCTGCATCATCAGTAAACGTAATGTCACTGTTGCGCGGTCCACTCGCCTAAAAACAACAAAACACCCATCAATTTTCCAATTCCAGGAAAGCCCATCCATCCATTCATTCCAATTGATCAAGAGAATCAAAGTTAAATAAATCAACAACAATAGCATGCTTCCCACCCTTTGAATAAGCCAGTATCCAGTTGAATTATGTATAAACCATCGGTGTTACATGTTCTTTTATTAAAATATGGGTCGATTAAAATGGGTGGGTATGACTGCAACCACTTGTGCATTGAAGCAAACGAAATGTAAACATAAAATGACTAACTGCAAACACATCGTGAGCAATAAATATCATAAGATATTTAATAATGTACTCACTTGGTGTAATTTTTTGAAATTGTAGAGTTTTAACTCCAGAAAATGTATATATGTGAGTGTATTCCCTATTACAACCCTAGCAATACTGCAGGATGAGGTGCGAATGGCGGCCAGAAGGCAGGACTGATCAATAATTGTCTGCGCTGCTTTTGCAGCATCCGTTCTCGCTAGCCTCGACAGGTCCGTACTATTTTGAATTTTTACACAATATTTATCAAGACTTCGGTACGTTAGTACCCGATTTGAAAAATTTGAATGAGTCATGGCTAAATTTATCGAAATCGATACTTTGAACTTTTATATTCGGATATTTATTCATAAAGTCAAAGATATTAAAAATTAGTGTCCCATAAAAAATACATATAGTGAGCGAATTAACACAGATTTAAATTAAACAGCAGCGGCGAACACAAATATTCTCGAGGACAAAGACTTTTATTATGTTTTGTAACGAGTAAATGTACTCAGTGATAGGTCAACGACAAACTTTGCAATTAAATGGATCCCAAAACCCAACGCAATAATGCATTTTAAAATTAAAAAGAGAAACCTTGAAAGAGAGCGAGACAGAAAATAGTAGCGTAAATAAAAGTGATACTTTTACACCTTCAACTACTGGAAAAGATAACAAGATAACTATTTTTAAATATTTAGAACAATTATTGTATAATCAGGAAACAACATTTAATCATGCTAAAAAAATCCCCATGAACGCGCACTTCTTAGAAAGCGACACCTTATACCTCGCGAGTTTGATATCGAATAATGCGTATCATTCCCTTATCAAAGCCATACACATTTTCATCGAATAACGGGGCTAAAAGTTTCCACTGAACGATAACAAATGACCGACATTTTGAGCACATTTTTGCATTTTGTCGCTCCACTATGCGATTTACACGAGTTTGACATTCAGAATCCATAAACCTAAAAACTAAATTCGAATTCAGGTCAGCTCCACGTCAAATCGAGAAAATTATCAGTTGCGAAAAAAATTGTTGTTGTAGTTGTAAAAATCTTCCCGGAGTGGAATTTTTAAAGTTCGTTCGATCTTAAAAAGGAAACCGTTTACTTTCAGAGGAAGCATGGGAATGTTTATGCTTTAATATTCCAAAGGTTCGCCGCCGATTCGACTGACTCAAAGTGATGTTCTTTGAAAAGTTCGCTATAAATAAAAATTATGCAAGGAACGGATGTTAGAATAATGACTTAACAACTACTGGATTATTTTATTGTTATCGGCACCATGTGATACACAAATCTACTGTGGTTGACCATATGACGATTAACCGCAAAATAGTAGTCTGTGGATGACGGGAAGTCTGCGCTAATCGTGCACGTCATACTGACTCATGTTGAGAGGATTTTCCTCACTAGGGATGGGCAGTGTTAACATTCAGACTATAAACTGATACCCATACAATAAACAAATGGCAAATTTAGCCTTGTTGAAGTACATTTATGGGTAGAGCTTGCTGGGTAGGTGGAAAGCTTTCGTTCCGTGGACTCCCGAGTCTCGGATTCGCCCCAAGCCACACACACGAAAAATTACAAATTAACAGTTACTCCTACTTTTATATATTTACACGTAAACAGCTCAATTTGTAGTTATAAACATATTCTGTTTATTTGCGTGTCTTTAAAGATGACCGGTAATCGACAAATTTAACTATAATAGTTTTCTTTATAACTGAAAATAAAGACCCTAATTTTTATCCCGTTGAAAGTTAACGAAATTATAACACATAAACGCCACGTATTTACTACTTGTTAAACTCAACCCGCCAAAGCTACGACTGTGTAATTGCGCCTTTAGTGAACATAGCTCCGTAAAAACTTCGGTAGGTTTTACTTTACGACATCTATTTCACTTTTATTTGCAGCTACTATTCATCAATACGACTGTCATTAGGCACAGCAGGCGAATTAATACCGATCGATTTACAATAAAAATATATAGCATGTCATTTATTATTATTATTATTATTATTATTACGCAGCTCCGAAAAAATTAAACACTCGAAAAATCTCAAGAGATTGTAATAAAAAATTACGTGTCAAATTGGAAATGAACTCAGGTGTGCTTAATCGTCTCAGATTAAAGAAAGGAGACAATTCTGGTTCCGTTTCCATGCTCTGACAGTTGTAGCTTAGGATTTTTTCTTAAATTTGTAGGAGTGCGCTATGCAGCAGGAAGTTTTAATATCCTGGAGTTCACGAATAAACTGAAGAGCGCTTAAAACGACTCAGATTCCAAAAAGGAGACAATTTGGGCTAATATTCCCTCCTAATAGTTACGATTTTCTGAAAATTCCGAAAAGGAGACGATTTCGTTTAGTTTCGATGTTCTATAGGTTGTAGCGTCGCCGTATGCGTCCAGAATCATATGAATTTTTATTGAAATGTATCTCTGGAACTAATATTTTCAAAAATAACCAAATGACTAACCAAGCACTAAATAGAAAATTTAGTACGTGACATTGTGGAATTAAAACCGATTATCTTTATTTGTAATCGCAATATTAGCGTTAATGGAGATGTCCGTTAGTAATAACGAAGGCATCTCATTTTGCATGTCTAATGTCTATCTAATTCTTCGTCATTTGATTCATCCTGTAATTTAATTACGCATATCCCGAGTGAAAACAACGCAAATGCGACGCCACAGCGTTCCAGTTTTGGCGTTTTCGTAGCGTTCGCGCTCGTTATCGAAATTTAACTTGTGTACCCGAAAAATTCAAGTGATCCGATGGAATTTAAATGTATCGCACTCAGCATACACCAAAGCCGGAATGTTAGAGGGGATAAGACTAGACCTTGTAGGAATCCAGCGCCGTCGCATGTACTTTTCGAAAGTGTGTGAAAGCAAACAAATTATTTGGGGTCCGGGCTAAAAAGACAATTAAACGTTAGGTGTGCGGGTCGTAATTCGACGCCGTAATCTGGGTCTTCGCGGGAACCGTCATTGTTTGGGGTAATCTAGTGGCAATGCCAATAATTAGTCTTTGCTTTGCCAGCGCGGATTCCAAATGGAATATCAAGAGAATTCATTGTGTGTATGATATGATAATGTATGAAATAACGCCGACCCGCTTGGCCCTAACGTTTAATTAAAACGCTCATCACAACAGCGAAAACAAAACTTGTTGAAATCGACCCAATGCTAACGAGAAGATTTAAATTTATAGCGAGGCATTTATGGAAATGTTAAAAATTTACAATATGACGGACGAATTGAGGTTTCGTATTTTTCTTTCATGAGTTCATGCGCCAAAATTTCCAACAAAAACAAACCGTAGAAAATTTCGACGGTTAAATGAAATTTGACAGACCGAGAAATAAAGAAAAAAGTTCTGGTCATACAATCACACACAGAGATGGCCCTGATTTCACCTAACAAACGACGGCTTGCTTGACTTGAGATAAAAACAAAGTTTAATTATAATTGTACCGTATACAAACACTTTTAAAACATTTAAACTTATTTATGCAAGTGTTGTTAACTTACTTAACTTACATGAGCGATTAATTAATCATGTGATCAACTTCAACAAATCAGATTCTAAAAATAAAGGCTGAACGCGGCCATAAATATTTAATAACGCATTATTTTTTAATTTCCTTCCTTTAAAACGGACACTAATGCCCATTTGCACCAACGTTTAAGTCAGATACTTAAAATTTAAGCGGTTCTTAAAACTAAGAATGTGTTGCACCAACGGTTAACTCTCTCTTAAAGCCTTCTAAGAAATCCTTAATTTAAGTGCCCGTTTACCTGTGGCTTAAATTTGTAAGCAGTGCTTAACGAGACACAACGATACAACGCATGTGCGGTAGCCATAGTAACGGAACAATACTTCGTTTCTATTGGATGATGGTTTTGGAAATCGAAAATTTGCAATTTTGCAATCATTTCAGCCATTTCAACCTTTCAACAGTAGCAGCGTTCGTGAGTGTTTTGTAATCAGCGGTGAAAAGTGTGGAATAAAGTTCTAACAAGACAAAAAATAATATAAAGAAGGTATGTACCACAATTACAACGTTTTGTTGTAAAGAATTATGTACATATGTTTTATTTTCAGATGAATAGTACAAAGCGCCAGAGGGGAGCAAATTTTACGGCAGATGAAAAGACCTTTGTCTTAACATTAATCAGTGAACAGCGTCATATTATAGAAAATAAAAAAACGGACGCTGTTACAAATAAGGAGAAGCAGCGGTGCTGGGAAGAACTAACGAATAAATTTAATTCATGTAGTCCTAGCGGTGCCATGAGGAGTGTAACCTCATTACAAAAATTTTACACAAATAAAAAAAAAGAAGTGCGAAAAGAAGTGGCCGATAAAAAAGTGTTTATGCGAAAAACAGGAGGTGGTCCTTCATCTTCAAAATGTGAGGATCCATACCTGCAGCTAACGTTAGCCACCATGGATGAGAATTCAGTGTATGGACTGGAAACTCAATACGGCGGGGATAGTGAATTATTTGTAAGTTGAACAGCATCATAAAAATTGGTCTTATTTTTTTTTTTTATAGCAAACTATAGGTGAAGAAGATAACGAAGACCATGAAAACGATAATGTGGTGCCCATTGCCACCTCTTCTCCACACATACCTGAAGCAATGGATGAGGTTCACAAAACAAAAAAACGAGTGTTTTCTGATACATATGACCAAGGGGAAGAAAATGCAAATGTAAGCTTTTTCTGTGTTGGTTATCATCTGTTATATATATTAATTAATTGCAGTTTAAAGCTGACTGGGGTGATTATAAAGTTGAACACCTGAAAAAAAAGAAATCAAAGGAGTTACAAACAGTCATTAATAGGAGGAGGCCAACAATAACAGCACTACATTCCAGCCATTTGTCGAAAACTTACGACGAACTAGCTACAAAGAAAATGGAGTTAGTTGAGGCACAACTCGAAGGACAAAAACATGACGAAGAAAGAAAGCAAGTTGAATTTTTGCTTCGAAAGCAAATTTTAGAACTAGATATTGAAATAAAAAAGGAGCAGCTGAGAAAACTGAAACAGGATAATACGGAAAAACAATAAAATATAAAATAAAATATTAATAAAACATTTATTTGTTAAATTTATAAATTTCCAAAAAAATTTGTTATAAAATTTCTTCTAATTTCACTGCCCCTCCTTTGGTTGTCAATAACATTGACCTCTGGTATTTGACCATCTTCAATAAGTCGCTGCAGTTCATGCTGGTTAATGTCAGCTGGGAGAGGAGGTTCATCTTCACCCATTTGTCGAGCTATATTATGC